ATCTGTATATGATATCCTGATATCCTAACTACTTAGTTTTGTTAGTTGTAGAAATATTACCAAATGTTTAATTCAAAATGAAAATATGCCAAAAATATGACAAAATTGAAAAAATATGAGAAAATGTTAGAAAATCAATATTTTCATCTTTAGAGAGATATTTTTATGAGATTTTTTCAGACCTTTTTTCTTTCCTGCCAAGAGGCCATTCTGAATTAATGAGAACTGTCGAAATCAGTTCAGCCGTTCTCGACATATAAGAGATCTTTCAAGCATATCCTCTTCGATAGACATATATATCGCACATATTTTGCTATATATCCGATTTTTTGGATCTTAACATCAATGTAAAGGTCAGAAGTAACCTTGTCATGGCTTTGTGAATCCGCCGGGATTTAAAATATTCGCGGTTTAGTGAAAAATTTTGAATTTTTTGAACAAAAAAGATATGGCCTATTTTACCCGCTAAATATTATCCGATGACCACCCAAATTGGTAGGCTTCTTCCCCGCTCTAAACTCTAGCTACATGCGAAATTCCGCGTCGATTGGTCTATAATTGCGACCTGTATAGCTACTGCAAAATCCGACATTTTTTCAGTATTTGGTCCATTTCAACCCCTAAACATTTGGCGATCATCTCCAAAAGAAATAGGGTTCTATTCTGACCCTAGCCCCACCTCCATTCTAAATTTCGTGAAGATCGGGCCATAATTGCGACCTGTAGAGTGATTACAAATTAACATGGACAGACGGACAGACGGACAGACGGACGGACGGACATACATAGCTAGATCGACTCAGCTCGGCGAGATAGGAAGATCCATATATACTTTCCTATGTGGGAAATCAATATTTCGTGGTGTTACATAATTTTTGGCCCAATCAAACTTATAATACCCCCAACACATAGTGTTGTAGGGTATAAATATGGAATAAAAGTCAATATGAGCACACTACTATTACCAGTAAGCCTAAAATAATGCTTTATTTTTCTAAAAAAAAATAAACATTAAAATAAGTTATTTTCCTCATTATGAGGTAATTAGTAAAGTTATCAAAGAGAGTAAAAAAAAAGGCCGAGACTCGGTGTCGACAAACGAATAAAACATGATATAATAAGATGACTTGTTGAGATAGAAATTACAAATCGGCTTACCAACCCATTATTAATGCAGGAACTATCGCACGAAATAAGCTGTTCCCTAATCAAGTAGTGGCAATCGCAACTCCTTACAAGCCAATCTACATACCATTTATTTTTTCAAGTAGATGGCGCCCGAAATAAGTAGTTCTGCCTTGGTCACTAAAAGTCGACAACTTTATGTGAACAAAGTCGATAAATAAGTACTTATATAATCGACTTTTAGTGGCCAAAGCATGGCTACATTTTTCAGGTTTGTAAGGAATTACGATTACCAAAACTTGATTAGGAAACCCATTATTGGGTAATGGAAGTTTTTCCTGGGATCTAAAGAAAGATAAATTGTTAACGGACATCAATGGATCGTATGGACGATCTGAAGACCATTTGATTTTGTTCAAGATCAGTTGATCTTCATTCAGAAGACAAATTTTAGGATATCAGTTGATTTTCTTTTAGGAGATCGGTTGATTTTCCCTAGAAGATCAGTTGATCTTCTTATAGAAGCTCCGTTGATCTTCTATAGGAAAATCAACTAATTTTTTATTGGAAGATCAATTGATCTTCTATAAGAAGATCAAGAAGCTCAACCGATATTCTATAATATGATCAACTGATCTTCTATAAGAAGGTCAATTTTCTTCTCTAAGAATAAGATCAACTGATTTAATATATAGATAATAGATAGATAGAAAGAAGATATTCTTGGTGTTCTATAGAAGATCACTTGATCCTCTCCAGAAGATTAATTGATCTTCTCTAATACATCACTTGATTTAGAATATATAACTTATAAGATATTTTTCGAATATTTCAGGTGCCTGTTAACGGAGGGATAGAATTAATACACCCTCCATTTTTAGAAGAATACTAGCCATCGCGGACTTAAACATTTTCCTAACACAATTGAAGTCGATTATGACTTCCAAGAATTTATTATCAGTTTAGCCATACTTGTAAATCTTCTTAGGGTGATTTCAAGGTTAAATTAAATGACAAATAGATGTAGGAAAACTCAATGTTCACAGGTAAGTAGATGTTACACAATATATTTTACGCTAGTTAAATACTAAAATGCTAAAAATTTCGAAGTAAACTCTTAACACATTCCCCAATATCCGAACACGTTTCCGACACTTGGAAATTTCACTTAATTTCTTATTTTTCCTTCAAATTATTTTAATTTATTTTTAATAACTGAAAAAAAAAATTATTTCAAATTTATAAAATTTTAAAGGAAGTATTTAAGGCAACAACTTCCCTGTGACAAGACTTAGTTGTCAGATGCATTTCATTGCATAACAGACCAGATTTCCTTTGGATCTCTTTCCTCAACCAAAAAAAAAAAAATACCGCGCCACATTCAAGTGTAATCATCATTTATTTCAAAAAAATAATTGCAAGTGATAAGAGTTGAAAAACAAAACCAAAACTGGTATATTACACCTCTCTTACACCAAATGTCCCTGAAAACCCAATGGGAACCTGATTGATGAGGGGGGACAATTGATAAAAAAAAAAATTGTGTTGTTGTCATGCATTTGTTGGTGTGTTATTTTCTTTACGATTTGTTTGATATTACTTCTTGCATTTTAATTAAAAAATTTAAAGACAAAAAACACACACTCTCCACATAATTTGTTGTTGTTGTTGTTGAAATTGAACACAAAATAGCCAAAAGGAAACTCTTGACCAATAAAACTACCTAAACAAAAATTAAAAAAAAAATCGAGATGGAGAGAGAGGAACAAAAACATAACCAAACAGAAACGATATCAAAAACAAAAACAACAACTTGAAACATATTGTAAAGAAAAATATTGTAAAGGAAAATTGTCCGCAAGCCAAAGTCCATGAAGAGGAGAGAGAGTAGGGTTGTCGTGTTTGGTATTTTTACACAAAATTCGTTTCATTAAAGGCAGATTGAGAAAAGGGCAAACAGTTTATTAAAAAAAAAAAACTTAAAAAATTAACTGTTTTCAATATTTACAGGAAAACCCCAGCCGATTATGAAAGTAGAGCTTAAGATACAGAGTGAGATGAAAAAAACTGCAACCAACTTCAGACTGCTGTCATTTCAAAGCCATTCGTCCGACAGCTGTTAAAATTATACCTGCGAAGGCTCATTATATTGTTTACAAGCGTAAAAAAGCATTTTGGTGTGAATTTTTCAGAAAAAAGTTATTCGTGATGGGATTCAAGCGTGATATGGTGATTTCTTTATATTTGACTGGAAAACCACAAGTGCCTATCGTTAGAGCACTCCAGCATTTAAATGTGAATAAATCTTTTGTGTCTCGCACCATTGCTCGTTACCGTGATACTGGTAGCGCAGCGCGACGCCAAGGAAGTGGACGGAAGAAATCAAAAAAATCAGCAGAAATGGTTCGAAAGATTCGAAACCCGCCTCGCAGTGGCCGAAAAATGACACGTGAGCTGAACATATCGCAATATTCCATTCGGCAAATATTGAAAAATAAGCTCGGGTTACAGCCGTTGAGATTCTAAAAAGTGCAATAACTTATACCGCAACAGAAAGAAAATAGACTCAAAATAGCTAAAGAGTTGCTTCGGTTGGCCGAACGTGGTGAACTGCCGAATTTGGTTTTCTTCGATGAGAAAACATTCGTTGCTTGCCAAAGAGGTCAGCTGAAAATGTGCAGCTTCGGTTGGCCACCAAAACTCAAGCCCCGGCCATGGTGATGGGGTGGGCCACCATAACAGCAGATAATCGAACTGCGCTCGTAGTAATCATCACTAAAGCATCAGAGTAAATGCCTAATATTATCATCCCAAACAAGCGCTTCGCCGGGAATGGGCCAAAGTACCGCAGAGCAACATTCGAGCAGCGTGTAACAGCGTGTTTCATTGGCCGTTTGAAGGCCATTATTCGTGCCAAAGGTAACCAATTCGAACAAATCTAAACTTATTATTTGATGCTATTTCCGACATTTTTGCTTTCATTCAATGAAATTTGTTGCATTTTTCTATCTCACCCTGTAGATTACTTTGTAATGTAACACATCAAAACGCCGGTACATGAGCCTTCTATTTTTAGCTCTGCTTTAATAATCTACTCGGGGTTTCCTATAATTGTAAAAAATCTTGATTTTTTTGAATATTTGGATGAAAATCAAAATTAAACAAGTTAAGAAATCTGTAAGTTCGACCGAACTTTGAATACCCTCCACTATTTGGTACAAATTTGGCAATTTTCCAAAAATTAAAATCCATTAAAAATTCTGTTAAACTCTTAAAAATACCGAATGTAGCCATATATTGGGGTCTATAAGACGACGTGGACTTGCATACGCAACTTTTGTCATAAGCCTGCACAGACAATTTTCTGGCATAGGCTGTAGTATACATTACGAACTTCAAATACAAAATTTGAAATAATTCCGGTAAATAATGTCGTTAAAATCATCAAAATACCGAATATCGGGGCATACCGTTATAAGGTGGTTATACGAAGATGTGGATCTACATGGCCCATTTTCAATACCAAAAGTCCTGCAGACATAATACACATTTCAGTAAATTTTTATCAACTTATTTCATTACGTTCGGAAGCTAGAGTGATTTCCATAGACGGACGGACATTGCTAAATCGACATAGAATTTTATCCTGATCAAGAATATTTGTGGGGTCTAAAATGTATTTTTCGAGGTGTTACAAACGGAAAGACCTCCATACTATGGTGGAGGGTATAAAAAATAAAACACGACAACCCTGCCTTTCCTCAACTCGACTTAACTGTGTGGCAATATTACAAAGTAATGTTTGGATTTTGTGGACACAAAAACCAAAAACAAAAAAAAACAAACTAAAAATTTGTCTTGTTTGCGGTACTTACCGGAAGCATTTTGGTGCTTTTTATGTCTATAATTTATTGAATAGCAGGCAGGCTGGCAGCAACAGGAGCCAAGTCACAAAAACAAAAGACCGGGCGCGACAACGACCAACAACGTGGTTGACTCTCTCGCAGTGATATCCGTTTTTATTTTTTCTATCCGTCGGCCGGTTTTTCACAAAGTAATACAAACACAGAGAAAACTATTTTTTGTTGGTCGGTTGGTAGTGCGGTTAGGACGGCCAAAAAAACCGCGCGTTTACTCTTTGCAACGTTTATTTAGGGTTTCAATCTGGTTTATATTGACGTCGTCGTTTGATTGCAAATTTTGTTGCAATTTTATGTGAACAACAATTTTTTTTCTTCTTCTACTTCTTCCCCAGTTACAACTCTTTTTTTTTCTTCTTTCGTTTCGTTTGCTCTCCTTTTTATTGATATTTTTCGGGGGGAGCAGGGAGATATTTTTTTGTTTAATTTCGCTTTATTAAAAAACTGCAAAGAAAGAAAAGACAAAAAAATAAAATTTTATGATATTGCAATAGACTATAAAAATATATAAAATTGTGTGAATGTTGGTAGGTATTTTATCGAGTTGATTGATTGCCGATGTGGTAATTTTATTTGACATTTGGCGAATGATTTGGTTCCGTTGTTTTTTAGGCTTCTTTTTGTGTGTGTGTGTCTCTCTCTCTCTCACCCTCCGCCTCTTGAAAAATCCAAGTGAATTCCATAGCCGTTATCTGTTTGCTGTTGTGTTTTCTGTTAGTTTTTCATTTGGTAAATTGACAATTCTTTTTTTTTATTTTTTTCGCAATTTGAAATTCCCCCGAATGCAAATTGTTTCTATTGGCTTTTGTTGTTGCCTGTTTTTGTAGGTCGATTAGGAAATAACAAATTCATTTTTTCGACAATCAAACTTAGATGACCAACTAAATATTATTTTAAATTAATAAAAAAAAATGGATATTGAAAATTTTATTCATAAATTTCATGGCTTGCCTTGAATTGAATTAACTTTGTGGGACATAACGAGAACAGAGTGGTAGATGTGGTAATTTGTAAAAAAACTTGAATTGTATTTATTTTATAATAATATTGAAATGAAGAATTCACATAAAAATAATAATAATTACAAGTTAAAAAGTATCAGTCGGTTCTGCCTACAAATATATACCCTCAGCCAATGATCGATGATTTAAATATATTTTGACTTATTCAAATTGTTGACCCTCTATTGAGTAGGTTCCGAAGGAATATGCCAATATTGACCATTTCGTATCGGCCCTAAATAAATATGATATAAATATTGCGACATACCAGGTTTGGACTATATCGACTACTTCCTTCACTTTTGTTGAAGAAAATGTTAAAATGAGCATGAAGTACCAGATATGGTCGACCGAAGCATTCCATTTCCATATTCCATCTAATGCAGGTAAAAATATTTTTATGGGCAAAATTACAAGAAAATCGAACATTTATATCCAATTTCAGATCAGATTTCTGGTTGAGAGAAATATTTAGATTTTCTCAAGTTATGACATATGAAAGTATTGAAAATTGTGCTAGAAGGGGTTCGCAGATATCTATAATTTTCACAATGTGTGAAATTTGATGTGTGAAATTTGAAGAAAGTTGGATGCTTATTTCGCTTTCTTTGAGCATTTTCTTTTTAAATCTTCAACCCTATGTGGGGGAGGTACCAAAAGAAATGGTCCGATCTCTGCCATCTTTGTAACAGATCTTGTGTTAATGGAAATATTAAAATGTACCAAGTCTGAATGGAATCGAATGCGAATTTTGCGTTTTATGCGCTTCATGGATATTCAAAATGTTGACCCTTTGTGGAGAAGGTAGCAGAAAGAGAGGACCAATATAACTTCTTCACAGCAGACCTTGTGTTAGTGGAAATAATGTGATGTGTAAAGTATGAAGACAACCGGATGTTTAATTCGGATTTTATAATCATTTGGTTATTGAAAACTTTGACCCTTTGTGGGGGGAGCTATCAGAAGGAATGGTCCGATTTCTACCATCTTTATAACATATCTTGTGTTGATGGAAATATTGAGATCTGCCAAGTCCGAATGGAATGTTGAATGTTAATTTCGTGTTCTATGAGCTTCATGGATATTCAAAATGTTGACCCTTTGTGGGGGAGGTAGCAGAAAGAGAGGACCGATATATTCCATATGTAAAGCAGATTTTCTGTTGGTAGAAATAATAAGATGTGTGAAATATGAAGAGATCCGGATACTTATTTCAGTTTTTATGATTGTTTTGGTAACTCAAAATGTTGACCCTTTGTGGGGGAGGTATCAGAAGGAGTGAACCCATATATTCTATTTCATACCACAATCGGACCAATATATCACATTTTATAAGAGTGATAATTATTCACAATGTTGACCCTTTGTGAAGGAGTACTTGATGTAATGGACCAATGTTGTCCATTTTCGGACCTGACGTAGCACTGATTAAGATCTGCAAAGTTGGAGCAGTTGTTTTTGAACATTTCGACCAGAAGAAGTGGATCGATATTTGCAATCTCCGAACTCGATCTAAGTTTAATAATAATATTACGACGTACCAAGTTTCGATCAAATCGGATACTCCCTTCAAGAGTTAACGTGCGCACCAGCCTGACAGACAGACTGACGGACAAACATCGCTAGATCCACTCCAAATGTTTTGAAACGGATTTGGTTCAAAGAGACCTAGGGTTTAAAATCGTTATTTCGATGAGGCACGTTTTGGCCGTATCAAATAATATATATCCCGTTTGTAGCCATACGGCTGAGGGTATAAAAAGGCCTAACACAAACTGTTGGAGCGAATCTATAATAGTGCAATTTAACGCCTTTAGGCTACTTTTCTAGGCTATGTTAAAGTTTGATTTCTTTCTTCATTTTCCCACTAACAGTTGGATGCCGATGCCTGGCCTAGAGGCAAATCCATTAGAGGCCATTTTTAGGGTAACGAAAAAACAGACTTTTAACCGAAATCCGGTCAGGGAACACATCAAACACTCCTCGTGAATTTTGGTACGAAATCACTGCAAATTCAGAGGTTTCTTTGTCATTGAATTAAATTGTCAAAGTTCAATATGGATCTAGGTTAATTTATATTCCGCAATCTTATTTTTTCAAACTTTTCTGACAAAATTTTCCAACCGAAAAGGCTGTCTCAAACTTTTCCCCCCAAAAAAAATATTCAAAGAAAATCCAGATTTTCGAATAACTTAACTACGATGACCAATTCTGTTGAAAATGAATGGATACTCTATAATTTGTTGTTCGGGATTCTCGTAAGGGAAGCACACCCAGATTTTTGAAAATTTTGAAAACTCATAACTATTCCAAGTCGGTTGGAAAATTCAATCATCGCGGATATAAGTAAAGTTTTCTCATTGTGAAGGGTTTAAAAGTTAGAACCGATCGAACCTAATGCCAGATTTACTTTTTTTTTATTAATAACTAACAACTCTACTATTTATTTGTCTGTTTCAGAACTGCAAGAATCTAAAACAACCGATTTATATCGAAAAAAAATTTTAAAACTAGAAGATTCTTGCATATATGAAATAGAACATATTATTTTAAAACAAATGTTTCACAAAATTAAACTTTAAACAGTAAAAAAATTAATCTTTCAAAAATAGTTTCATTTTGTTGTCAAATCTTTTATATAAACTTCGTCAAATCTATTATATCTCTCTCTAAAAAAAAACTAGTTTTTATATCGTTGGAAAATATTCATAAATTTATCGTCCATAAAATTTTGAAACGAAAATAGTTAATCAAATGCAAATCAGCAACAATTTAAATGGAATTTCAATTTATTTCCTAGACACGAAATCTAAACTTTTTTAGGCAATTTCAAAAATTGTATAACATGTGTTTGAGTCACAGTCTTATATAAATTACATTCATTTTTCAAAAGAAACACACACACACGCACACATATGAACGAAATCAATCGCAAAATATCATGGATAATCTTTGAAGAAAAACGTCTTAAGACACACCTTAATATTATTTATAGTTGTTTTAAGAAGAAATATAAGCTATGGAATGTTTTCGATAAAAAATATGTATATTTTCTAAAACAGATTGTCCAAAAATGCGTAATAAAAATGTTTTAATTTTTAGATTCTATGATGACTCATAGAGCCTGAATCTGACTTTAAAATTGTGGTTATCTGTATGACGAAGTGGTCGAGTCAATAGCAAATTCTATGACCAGTAAGAAAGATTAGCTGGCGTTGGTTAAATATATAACCTCATCCAATGAATAAGAATTCGTCTGGAAATCAGAAAACAAAAAGTTAAAGCCAGATGCGACTTTACCCTCAAAAATAAATTATTGGTATGGAAAAGATATAAACGGCCTTTTCAAAAAAAAAAAATAATAATAATAATACGTTAACGATACCAAACAAGCTGTAAAGCGACAGCAAAATCTGATAAATGTTCATTGTTTGGTTGATTTCAACCAAATATAATATAAATATTTACATACAAAAGCAATAGGCTTATTTTCTAGCCCTAACTCAACCCCTTTATAAAAATTTCGTGAGGATCGGACTATAATTGCGATCTGTATAAAACACTACCCAGTGTTGTAGGGCTATAAAATCTACAATTTTTTATTTAAAGTCAAATTGAAAAAAATACTTGGCCTATATAAGGTCGGCTAGTAAGCCCACTAAGTTTCCTGTCATAATTTCCAAAAGACATAATTATGATTTGAAATGCAAAGAGAGTCAAATAACAATTGTACACAAACTATTAAGTTTTTCTTTATCTAACAAAAGTAGTCGCCAATTTTATGTAGGCCTAGAAAAAATATGCGAAATTTCTAAATAACCTCCACATGTTTGAAACTAATTTGTCCAAATATTTGTATTTTCCATCAAGTTTTTAATTTTTCACTACTTTTTGCTTTGAAAATTTTTTGAGGGCTGAGTTTTCGTACAGAAACTAAAATTATGTTCGACAACGAAAGGTATATATCATTTGATACTGCCAAAACTTGCCTCGTCGATATAACGGTTTTAGACCCTACGTCTCTTTGGACCAAATCCTTTTCAGGACATTTAGAGTCGATCTGGCGATGTCCGTCCCCCTTTCTGTCTGGCTGCATGGTCTGCACGATAACTCTCGAGGGAGTATTCGATTTGATGCAAACTTGGTACATCAAAACATTACAAACTTAGATCGAGTTCGGAGATGGACAATATCGGTGCACTCCTTCTGCAACCTCACACACAAAAGGTCAACATTTTCAAAAAATATTTGACTGCACAGAAAGGGAAAGGATAATCCGATTTTGCTCCAACTCCAAATCCTAATATTTGCCTCAGTTCTCGGTCAGGTACCTCCCCCACAAAGGGTCAAAATTTTGAATATTCGTTAAGCTCATTAAACACGAAATTATCATCCGATTCCATTCGGAATTGATACATCTCAATATTTCTATTAACACAAGATCTGTTAGAAATATGGTAGAGATCCGACCACTTCTTTCTGTACCTCCCCAAAAAGGGTCAAAGTTTTGAATAAACAAAACGATTTCAAAATCCGAAATGATCATCCGATTCTCTTAATATTTCACACATTCCATTATTTCTACTACTGTGAAAATGGGATATATCGGTGCTCTCCTTCTGGTACCTCCCCCACAAAGGTTCAAAATTTTGAATAATTACAACTCTTATAAAATGCAATGTAAGAATCCGATAGTCTTCAAATTACACACATTACAATATTTTTACTAAAACAAGATCTGCTATGAAGATGGGATATATCGGTTCACGCCTTCTAGTACCTCTCCCACAAAGGTTCAACATTTTGAATATACATGAAGCTCATAAAACGCAAAATTAAAATCCGATTCCATTTAGACTTGGTACATCTTAATATTTCCATTAACACAAGATAAAGATGGTAGAAATCGGACCATTCCTTGTGGTACCTCCCCCACATAGGGTTTAAGATTCAAGAATCTTGAACAGTTGTGGTTCCCAGAGATAAAAACTTTTCGGAAAAAAATCAATGTCACCAGCCAGAATTTTCCTCTCTAAATTTTTTTAATTCGTTTGGCTTGAAACTGAAATTCGGAATTTCAGTTACTAGATAACTTCCTAATAGAAAAATGGTCAGGTTCTTATATAGAAGTGTTGTTATTTCTTAGTTTTAGCTACATTTCCCAACCGATTTTTATTATATTCAGATTTATTGGCTATAACATGAATGAGTTCTCGCATTATCGATGTCGTCGATTTAACTTCGATTTCGAGTCTTTATAGATGAAAAATGCTTTTACAATTGGACGATTTGATTTTATCTACAACCAGGGCTACAAAGTTGGAATCGAATAGTCAGTGTAACGTAGTCGAGTTGAACAAATTTTTCAGTGTTGGAGTCTTATTTAAGGTAGCACTCAGGCTAATTTTTCGAAATGAAAGTTTTTCAAACATCATAAGTTTGTTACTACCAATTGAGATAGATTTATGATTTTACTTCCATGGAGTATTCAAAAATAAAAGGCGATCCCATTATTTACTAAAATGTCTTAGAATTAATAAATAATAATAATAAAAACACGTTCTTCGGATTTCTAACGAATACTAGAAATGGCGCCCAAGCAGCAAATTTTTTTCACCATGACCAATTGTTTTAGTTTTTTACATCCAAATTTTAAACTACTTTTGCCAGTAGGCAGGTTAAGTTCGTAAATGGGTGATGTAGGTCCACGTTTTCATATAGCCCCCATACAACGGCACCTCCCGATATTCGGTATTTTGATGATTTTAGCGACATTATTCACCAGAATTGTTTCAAATTTGGTATTTAAAGTTCGTAATGGGTACTACAGCCTATGACAAAAATTTTAGTATGCAGGTTCAAGTCTTCGTATTGCCACCATATAACGGTACCTCCCGATATTCGATACTTTATTAATTTTACCGACATTATTCACCGGAATTGTTTCGAATTTCGTATTTGAAGTTCGTAATTAGTACTACAGCCTATGACAAAAATTTTTGTATGCAGGTCCACGTCTTCGTATAACCCCCATATATTTGCCTACTTTACACTTAGCATGGCAGCCCTAAAACCTAATGCGGTTTTCATTTAAGTGGTAGTTTTCGAAATTTTTTGAGATTTTTGAAGTTCCTTCGAAATGGTGGAGGGTATTAAAAGTTCGGCCCGGCCTACCTTAGCTGGTATTTTACTTGTTATTTTTTCTTCCAAATTTTGGGACACCCTGTTTCCAATTTACGCAATAATTTCATACAACTCTTCACTCCGCTGTTTTTTTTTTTATTTTTCACAAATTTTCACATAAAAACTAGAAACGGGCTTATAGACCAGATCAAAGTGTGGTCCATTGCATATATGTTTGAGTGATAACACAAAACAACAACAACAACAAGAAACACACATCTTCGAAAGGAAAAGGAGTGGAGAAAACCTGAATCCAAAGAAACCACTTTTGCTTTCGCATGCCACTCTAACAACAATAACAACATCGCTATCATCTACAACATTGGATGGTGAAGAATAGCAAGCGAGTGAGTGTGGCTAGAGCAGAAGGAGAAGAGTGGCAAAAAAAACGGTGATACACTTCACGCCACTGTCTTCTGTGTGTGTTTTGGAATGTTTGTGGAAAACGAAATCTAGACAAATAAATGATGTGTGCGCAATCGAATGGCTTTTCTGCAGCAGCACCAGCAGTGGGCGCATGCGCCTTTAAAAGCCCCAAATGTTTTTTTTTTAATTTTAGATTTTTTCTTCAATTTTTTCCTTTTTCTTTTTCTTCTTCTTGGTGTAATGTGGTGAAGCAATGTTTATTGGTGCAAGACAAATGGGCGTTTTTCACTTTTCATTTCCAAAAACGAAGTAATTAGGCCTTATTTTTGGCCGAGGAGATGAGAGACATTAAAAGTTTCAGTTTTTTTTTTTTATTTTATTTTTTTTCAAACACTTTTTGTTTTCTTCAACACAATATTTTTTTGTCATTTTTATTTTTGTGATTTTTTATTTATTTATTATTTTTTTATTCTTTTTTTGGTTTCTATGTGGGTTTTAATTTTATTGCTTGTGTTTTCTGCGGTTTTCAACACCCACTTGAATTTTGTTTTTTAGTTTTCATTTTCAAATATTTTTTTTCGGTTTTCTTATTTATCATAAATTTAAAAAAAAAATTTTAAATTTTATAGAAATTTTCACACACCACTTGATTTCTGAGGTTTATTTTCTGTTTTTCTTAAAATACAAAAATTACAAATTTTTTCACTTCGTTTTGTATTTCCTCTACCCCAGCAAAAATAAAAAGAGTAGGGAATTTATTTAAAATTTGAATTTTGTTGATCTCCTCTACGGTAGTTTTTTTTTTGCTTTCAATGCGTTCCGTTAGCGTGTGGAAAACATACCGTTTAACCAAACAATACCGTTCAAGAGCCGCCGTTGCACTGATTCGTTATGTTACCAAAACCAAGACTTGTAGCCACAAACACGGGCAAAAGTTCCTTCCAAACTGTTTGGCTGGCTGGCTGTTTGACTTGCTTGCTATTGCTGTCTTGTCTGTGTGTCTGTCCGTCTTCGCTTTTGTTGTGGTCGAGTTGGTTGTCTATGGTAAGTGTCTGTGCGCAGTCGCATAACCCTCTACAGGTGGTTGGTATCGACAAGTGTTTGATTGTGCTTGTTGTTGTTGTTATTGTTTTTGTCTTCGCTTTGCTGCTTGTTATTGCGTGTGTTCATACCACGACTACCAGTTCCACCAGTTTAGTTTGCAAGTCGTCATCTTCTTCTCCAACCAATCCTCATCCCCCTCCACCCTGCACCGCCTCAATCATTAACTCGGCGAATATTGGTTTTATGTCTTTTTGGGCTCCAACCAACAAAAAAGAGAGTAACAACAAAACAGCCAACTAGCCATGTCGAACGAATGAACCAAACGTGCCAATGAACGAACCAACCAAGCAACCAACCAATCTATGCCATACCAAATCCAATTCCAACATCGAGTCAGTCGAACCATGTTTGGTAGTTGACTGTTCGCTCTAATATTGCCGAAGATGTCCAGATTTGAAGTTGGCCAAAAGCCGGGCCGGTTGTTTTATCCGTTTACGGGACGAACATTTTCCAGTCTGGTCTGATCTGGTCGGGTCTGATTGGTTTAACATGCACATGGGACTCCAAAAAAAAAAAACGTGGAGATATAATTAATAAAAAATAAAAATAGAATCAGTGTTAGAATTTTTTGTTGGAATACCAAAGTTATTTTTTGGTTTGAAAATAGTCAGGAGAGAAAAATACTTTTTGCGACAAAATAATTTTCTTAACAAAATTAAAAGATAAACAGAAGATATTAGAAAATAATAATAATAATTTTGAATAAGTTCACTTAGAGGAACCCAAAAACACGGCGGCAAAGCTCCGCCTTTTTTGACATTTTTGAAGATATTCCAGTTGAGATCCTTGGATACCATAAATTTTAGGTATATAGTGTTCGCGGCAATATTACGGACAAAAATCTGCAGATATTTTTGTAAAATTAATTAAACCTTAGTCGAGTCATAAGAAGGGTCTTTTAGAGCCATTTTGATAATTAAGATCATTGGATACCATACATTTTAGGTATATGGTATCTGCGGAAATATTAGGGGCAAAATCTGGAGTTATTTTTTTGTAAAATTAATAAACCGTCAGACGTGTCATAAAAAGCGTCTTTTAGGATCTTTTTTTTAAGAACCTTGAAAAACTCCATTAAAATGTGATTGTATCACATCAAAATATTCCACAAAACTGTTCTTCATAAAATTTTACTGCAGGTCTCAGACAACACCAAACCCCTAAAACTTACCTAAAAGCCGGAAATCGATAAAAATACAAAAACACGATTTAGGGTTAATTTTTTTAAATTTTGCGGCTTACGATTCTTTTGAAGCCATTTATTTTAGGTATATAGTGTCTTCGGGAATATTTCTGATAACAATACGGGGAATAATTTACAATGGCTCCTTAGGTAATTAAAAAAAAAAAAAAAAAAAAGCAGCTAAGTTCGCCCGGGCAGAACTGTTATACCCTCCACCATTTGGAAAAAACTTGAACAATTTCAAAAAAAGTCCGTCGAACAATACCGCTCAAATGAGCGGGTTTATGGGGATTATACGAAGACGTGGTCCTGCATAAGTAATTTGTGTCATAGACTGTAGTAACCGTTCCGAATTTTATATACGAAATTTGAAACAATTCCGGTGAATAATGTCGCAAAAATTAGGAAAATACCGAATATCTGGGGGTACCGTTATATAGGTGCTATACTAAAAAGTGGACCTATTTGGACAATTCTCTCCTAGGGGGAGAAGTACTCACTTGGAACGACTTTTAAGACAATTCCATTGAAAAATGTGGCTAAATCATTAAAATACCGAATATAAAAAGGTACCGATATCGTTGACATATATAAGCAATTCTCTCCTAGGGGGATAAGGTACCCAAAAGGAACTCCTTGTGTGGATTTTAAGACAATTCCATTGAAAAATGGGGTTAAAATCATCAAAATACCGAATATCGGGGGGTACCGTTATATGGGGTCGTATAGCCCTCATGGACCGATATGGCCCATCTTCGAACTTGACCTGCTTGCAGACAAAAGACAGATATCTGCAAAATTTTAGCTTCCTATCTTAATTTGTTTTGACTGTTTGTGGGGGAGATACCAGTAGGAATGGACCGATATATCCCTTCTTCACAGCAGATCTTGAATTAGAAGAAACAATAGAATGTGCCAAATATGAAAAGAACCGGATGTTTATTTCGGATTTTATTATCGTTTTGGTTATTCCAGATCCAGAGATCCAGAAGGATCTCTACCATTTTCATAGTAGATCTTGTGTTGATGTAAATATTGGGATGTGCCAAGTTTGAATGGAATCGGATGTTAATTTCGTGTTTCGTGAGCTTCACGAGTATTCAAAATTTTGACCCTTTCTGGTTGAGGTGCCAGAAGGAATGGCCTGATATATTCCATCTTCACACTAGACCTTGGATTTATAAAAATGTTGTGATGTGTGTAATTTTAAAACAATCGAACACTTGCATCACATTTTATACGAGTTATAATTATTCAAAATGATGACTCTTTATGGGGGAGGTACTTGATAAAGTGTATCGATATTGTCCAGTTTCACCCCTGACCTAACACTGATGCAAATTATTAGGATTTGCAAGGTTGGAGTCAAATCAGATTATCCTTTCTCTTTCTGTGTAGCATTTTACCGACCTTCTGTGAGGAAGGTACCAGAAGTGGACCAATATTGCCCATCTCCGAACTCAATCTAAGTTTGATAATAATAATACGATGTACCAAGTTTGGATCGAATCGGATACTCCCTCGAGAGTTATCGTTTGGTCCAAAGAGACTTAGGTTCTAAAACCGTTATTTCGATGAGAAATGTTTTGGCCGTATCAAAAGATAAATACTCTCTCTAGCCATATGGCTGAGGGTATAAGGAACAAGTAAGCAAAGGCTATAGTCGTTCGCGGCTGACCATCTGATACCCTACAACGCCACACTATGTTGGAAGCCCCTCTATGTCCAATTCTATTTTGGAAAATTTCGCTTTTGAAATGGTATCAGAGAGCCCTACCCAAATGTTATTCTTAGCTTTTTGATCAGGGACATTTGCCGAATATTTACGCACTTCCTCGTGTTGTTAGTTATTCAAAACAATTTCACTCGAAATTTGTGGTCCATTTTAAAGTTAAATATAGCCCAATGGCCACCCAAAATGCTAGACTTCTTCCCCGTCTTTAACTCTCTTCTCATACAAAATTCCGCGCCTATTGGTTTTCAATTATGACCTGGAAATGACCATTTGAACCCCTAAATGTATATCTTCAATAACAATAGGCCCCCATGCAAAATTTCATGACGATCAGACAATAATTACGACCTCTATAAAGTAACCTCAACACATAGTGTTGCGGTGTGTAGAAAAATTGTAAGTCAAATTGAAAAACATCGCATGCGATAAAAAATATGACAACAATTTAATATTTTTTGTTATTCACAATTTATTTATTTATTTATTTATTATTTTATTTTATTTTTTTTTTTTTTGACAAGAAACCATTCCGGGTAGCTGAGAATTGTGGAAATCAGTCCAGCAGTTCTTGACTCATAAGCATAATAAATAAGATATATTTATTGTACCTATTTTCCTCTATATCCCATATTTTGGCTATCAGCATCACTGTAATGGTCCGAAGTGACCTTTTAATTTATTTGTGATTTAGTCGGGATTAAAAATATTCGCGGTTAAATGGAAATTTACGTATTTTGTGACTAAAAAAATTTTAATTATTGTCCGATGACCGTACAAATTAGTAGGCTTCTGCCCAGCATTTTTGGCCCAATCAAACTTATTATACCCACAACACATAGTGTTGTAGGGTATAATAAAAATAATAAAAACCCCTCATTATATATCCAAATTGAAGAAAAAAATAAAAATCACAAAAGTATATGAAAAAGTCCTAGTGTATTCATCAAAAAAACTCTGTGTTTAATCTTGCCAAAAGATCCCAAGTATATAGTAAATACGCGGAAATAATTGAAACACGTATATTCATTTTTTTTCAGTCGGAATTCAGCCTGTACCCATAATCATTAATCACAATAATTCAAAGCTTCATATAATTATTACATTATTTCTCTGATAAATACATATATTTTAACTGTTTCTCCCTTATCTAAACACTGTTTGCAATGTCTCAATTTTGTTGGCCAATTCTCGCCAATTGACTTTTGCAAAAGGCAACACCAGCATGAACGAGTTCGAGTTGAAGTTGGAGTTTGTTCAGGCAGCAAGCAACAGTGGCCGACACTGTTGTATTGTCTGTTCCATTACTCCAATATTACCCTGCACTCCTCATTAAACACACACGATTGCCTAACACACGACGAACTACTATTTTCGCTCTCACTTGAGGAATTTCTTATGGCAAAACGAAAGGCCAAACAAGAGTTCCAACATAAAAATGTTAATTAACAGTAGAATGTTAAAGCAGCTGACAATATTCTAACAACACCTCCCTCCCTTCCTCGGGGTTTCCATTAAAGAAGGCGGTTGTTATGGTTTTGTTTTCCATGCTACTCGCATAAAACACTCGTTTTGCATAACTGCCGCCGCCGCCTTTAAGACACTTCACTAATTGTTGGGTGGTGTAATACTAAGTGTGTGAGTTAGAGAGCACCTCAATGTGTCTCTGTGTGTGTGTGCGAGTGAGAGCATGAGAATGTTATGTTATCGTGTTCTAATTTTCCCATTATGAATGCATAATTCAATGTCAATCATACGTCACGGTGTTCAAGGGTGAATGTGAATGTAAGGCAAACATACAAATGAATGTGTGTGTGTGTGTGTCTGTTTACAAAATAAACGAGAATGACATGGATTGGAATGTGTTCACGAAGACATTGATGTCCGTTTAAGATGAAAATGTAAATGAAAGATTAGAAGAGTAAAATCATGATACTTATTTGAAATATGTGACTTGGAAATGACCTGAAGGTGTAAGCTTTAAAAGATAAACGTGTGTAAGAGAATAGATTTTGAAATTGAAAAAAATTGAGGATTTAGCCTTATGGATATACAGCATATATACCATGTCTTCTTTTAGGTGAAATCCTTTTCAGAACATTTGGAGTCAATCAAGTCATGTACGTCCTTCTATAAGAAAATAAGAAAATATTTTCAAGGAAAAAATTGTTAATTTTATTAAAGGACTTTC